TTGAAAAGAGCGAACAAAACGAGTAGTTTTCAACATCTGATATGAATGGTCCCGTTTCCATGTTGTTATCAGAAAACAGAAACTATCCCAGCATTACAAAATGGTCCCGTTTTCACAGAAAACAATGCCTTTCAAATTTTTTTAAAAAAAACCCTATCCCAATACGATCTTTAACTTGTTCTATCTTTTGGCAATTAGATGGGTATAAGATATACACATTATTAATTCATTCATGTCGTCGAACTTGACAACTTGTGAGATTGAGGGTCTTTGTCCCTACTCCCTCTTCACTTGCTATGTTTTTATTATAGAATTCAGAGGAAGAAAACAAAAACACCTTTTGGACGTACGTGCATAGCTACATGTTCATAATTATTTTAGTCTAATCGCCTCATAATTTAACTTCTAATTGCTTTGATTAGTTAAATATTAGGCAGGCAATCCATCCATCGCTTTAGAATTGCGTGCAAAGCATTCTTGAATTGAATTAAAATTATGTAGCACGCTCTTGTCAGATTCTTGTTTCTGTGTGTTTCTTGGGCATATTGATGGTTGTGTCTCATCCCATATATATTCAACTTGATCAATCCCGTCTTTGGTAATTACTTCTTAATGTTTCTTATTGGATTGGTTATCGAAAGGTGAGAATTTCTTTAAGACGAAGTATTGGTTACAACAAGATCACTCTCAATACAATTACTTAACCAAACAAGATATTCTTTCGACAAATAAAACAAACTTCATTTTTGTAATGTATAATGAGTCGGTACATGTATTGTTATATTGCAACGACGAGGTTGAAAATAAATTTCTGTAATGAATATTTCCGGACTCATTTCGATAATCAAGTCATCATCAAGTTACATTTCTAAACAAATTGCCATAAAAAAATAAAATAATGTGTAATCACATGTTGTTAAACAAATATTTAGTCACTGCCCAATCCTCGAATAACATAATTAATTATTTCGGAGGTTCGGAGTTCTGTGAGACAGGATCCGCGATACGTGGCACCAGATGCCAAGGACGTGCACACGTCAGCCGCCAAGAACGACGTCGTTAGGTCACCGTCTCATGCATGCATTGGACCATGCTAACGTGCTCGGCGAGCGAAGACCCTCTTGTGCGTGCATCGAGAAAGCGGCCCCGTGTGTGACATGATTGCAATTCACGAATGAATCGACGGGTCATCACAAGCGGTGTTTACCCATTGGCGGTGATTGGTTATGGCGAGTGGGGCCCACATATGGGGGCGTGTGGCTGTTTCGGATTGGATGTTATGTGGGCCCCGCGGTGGCCCGGAGAGATGACCTGTCAGTCACCCTCTGTAGTAGTAAAACTCTCAGCTCATGTTATTGAGATGGAGAGAGAGAGAGAGAGAGAGAGAGAGAGAGAGAGGTGGACCGTGGATTGGTGGTGGGATGTGGGTGAAGGTGCATTTATGGTAAAGTTCAAAATTTTAAAGGGTTGGGGGGGTGTGTGTTAAGGATTTGGACAACAAGGGGCAGGGATTTGGATCTTATTTACAGTCATGTATGGTATTCCTCCACAAAAACCAACCCTACATTGCATACACACAGAACGTGACATGACTATTGTGTGTTGTTCACACATAACGTGACTTGACTATGGTGTGTCGTTCACGCGTAACGTGACATGACTATGGTGTGTTGTTTGTATCAATGGTTTTTTTTTTGAGAAAAAAAAGTCATTATTGGTGAAATATAACAAAGTATAAAGCAGTCATAATGTCGAATATGGGTATAATATCTTCAGTAACCAAACACATAATGTTGATTTGATTTGAAAATAATTACATCTAAATCAAGAAATACTTAAATTCACGATCTAGCTCTTGAAACACAAGTACTTAGACTTACAATTAGACATGTAAATGGATCGGATTCAGATTGGATATATCTCAATCCAAATCTAAATGAATTTATAATCGGATTATTGAATTTAGATCATATTCTGACTATCATATTGCATCTATCAATCCATATCTGTTACGCATCAAATTCGGATCAAATTAGATTATTATCGGATTTATTTTGAGGTGTACAAAACATCAAAATGTCATCAGTACTCTTGTTATTTTATTGTATTTATCTACTTTTTATATCAAATTTTGATATTTTATCATAAAAATTAGTTTTAAGTGTATTATTAGTTCATATAAAATTGAAATTTCTCATTTACACATATAAAATACTAATATAAAGCATAAAAATAAATAAATTATACTTCATAGTAAATCGTATCGAATTATTATCAGATCAGATTAACTATAATCCATATCCGGATCCATTTATAATCGGATTACCAGATTTGAATTGTAATTGTACTATTGGATTGAAAAGTCCAACCCATCTCTTATTAATATAAAAATCCGATCCATTAACATATGAAAGAAAATAAAGTGATATTTTCTGGTTACTTTCCAAACATTACTAAACATGTAAAATAAATCTTCAAATTTCCGTACATTGAAAAAAGACAAAATAAATTATTTCTCATCAAATCTTTTCCGCGAAACAAATAGACCTTAGGGTCCAAAAAAATCTTTTCATTTATGAAGTTGATATCGAATGAAGCTATAAATGTGAACTTAAAACTTGGACCAAAATTGAAGGACACTATCAAATTAGGTTTAGTAATTAGTACAGTGGCATTTGAACAATCCGCATTATTCATGGGTCAATAATGACAATAATAAAGTTTTAGGACATTGAGATCAGAACTTTAGGACATTCAAGTCAGAGCTTTTCGGCTACTGAAATAAATCATCGAACAGATTTCCTTTTCTCTTTTTATAATCTTACTCACTTCCCTTCAATAAACTTTAATTTAAACAAATTTCCTTTATTATCCTTTAATTCAAACAGGGAAAAGAAGAAAGAAAAAAAAAAAAAAAAAAAAAAAAAAAAAAGAAGATTAAAGAAGAAATTTAGGAGTTGCCCCCATTTTTGAATCAAAATTTAACTGTCCTTAATTACACAATGTCATGGGTGTGCGCGCCGTTTGAAGAGCAGCCAAACGTGAGCTTTTTTTGTTTTGTTTCCCTCTCTCTGGGCTGGCCGGCCCACACAAAAGCAATACGACGCCGTAAATCGCATCTCTTGCTAGCACAGAAAATAATAATACAAAGAGTCAGTTTCTGTAATAAAGTTAAGAAGCAGGGGCATTTGACAGCTCGATCCTCGACGGCGATCCATCGGTCTCTGACTCTCTGACTTGCGGAGACAGAGAGGTCCTCTCATCATCTCTTTCCCCCTCTCTCTCTCTCTCTCTCTCTCTCTCTCTCTCCTTGTGTGTGTCTTTGAGTGTTTTTTGTTTCTGTTTGTACAACAATGTAGTAAAAATTTGTATTCACTCTCTCTCTCTCTCTCTCTCTCTCTCTCTCTCTCTTCTCCCTCCAGTCTCTCTCTCTGTCTCTCATTGGTTTTGTTCCCTTCTTCACTTTTATTGCCTTCACAGAAGGTTCCTGCTTATCATTAATGTGAAATTTATCTCTTCTCTCGCTCACTCTCGAGAAACCCTAAAGAGTTTTTGGCGCTCTTCTCTCGTTTTCAATTCCCATTTTTACACTGTTTTTCCTCTTTTCTTTTACTTCTCTGGCGCGTCTTTCATTGCGTGCTCTCTGATGCGAAAGAAGAACAAAACCCAACGAAGCAAGTGTTAGATTTGGTAATGGTTTTTGCTTCTGGGTTTAAGCTTAACGAACCCTTTGAGGTTTAAGTACAAATTTCATATATGTTTGTAGAATAGATATGTTGTCGTTTATAGAAGAAGCTCTGCTTTTGAAGATTTACTAGCTTTTTTGATGGTTTTCACGTGGTGGGGGTCAACTGGGGTTGGTTGTAAAATGTCGTATTTCCTTCCAGTTTATTATTGTTGTTAATGGGGCTTTCTCAAATCTTTTTATTGTTTCAGTTCTTCTGATTTTTAGGTGGTGGGTTGTGGAAGATTTTAAGCATATAGTATTTGGGTCTAATATATTTATGGTTAGTTGATATTAATTTAATATATTATACTTTGGTTTTGTTCATATTTGTTTGGTTGCTGAGAAAACTGAGGAAAACAATAGAAGTTTTTTGGATCAGGACGTTAGTTTATGTTTTGTTTTCCTTCATTTTCACTCCAATCCAATCTATTTGGTTTCCCTTCGTTTTTTTTTTTCCTTTTTAACTCTGACGCTTATCAGATTTGGTCTCCAACATTTTGCAGGTCCAGTCTTGCTTGTGTGTTGCAAAGACGATTTGATTTTGAGGCTTTTTAGAGATTGGAGGGGTCTGATATGAGAGCCTCACAACCTCTACTACCTCTTTGGTCATGTTGGTGATTTGATTGTTCTTGGTGGGTACATCATCCTGTGGAATCTGAAGGTCTGAAGCTCTCTTTGAGGCATTGATTTGGCCACTTTTACTTTTTGCACTATTTGTTTCACCATTTTGACCGTTGATTTGAAGGATCGAAAGCAGTGATACTATACCTCTGTCGTTTTGCATATTCTGCTTGATTCTCCTTCTTGCTAGGCGCCAGAACTCGTAAAATATAGCACAGTTCAAAAAATAAAAATAAAATAAAAAATCAGAGAACCAATATCTTGCTTTCAGAGCCAAAAGCGTATTTAGAACTAGAAAACTATCACTTCCAACCTGGGAGTTTTCATCCAAGATTTCACTGCCTGAGAGTGACCAAAAGCTAGAGAAAGTGAGGACCCCAAGTGGAGTTCTGAATTTGATTCTTGGGAAGTTAGGTGAATTGGTAATAAGGGTCTTGTCAATTGATGCTCTGCTGCAGCTAGGCTGCTAGAGAGAATGGTTTGCATGTCGGGTAGTACATGTTTCGGAATCTAGAACAGTGGGGGTAAAGTTAAACAAGTTATGGAAATATTCTTTCGGTTATGTTTCTTTGCATATGGTCTTGATGGCATTTGAGCATTGAAAGTCTTAAGCAAGGTGGTTTGCAACAATTGTGTGATGCAGAATTTGGTAATGAGTCGAGAACAAAAGCGGGTGAGGCAAGAGAAAGGCTCCGATGATGCCGAGAAGGTTGTCGTGGCCGTTAAGGCGTCCAAGGAAATTCCCAAGACTGCTCTGGTGTGGGCCTTGACTCATGTTGTTCAACCTGGAGATTGCATAACACTGCTTGTGGTTGTCCCCTCTCAAAGTTCAGGTATCTTTACTTTGCCTCTAGTAGATTTTTGCCCATTTTCAATGATAACAGAATGTTGGTGTGTTTTACTTTATGATCGGTTAAGTTTTAAAGTGTTCTGGGTTGTTGAGGTTGGATGTATGTTTCGAATTAAGTTTCATTTGACTTCGTGGTGGTCATGTGAGTCTTGGTCCTCATCGACTCTGTCACTACAGCTTACTCTGTAATTTGAATTTATTTGAGTGAATGATGGCCGTTTATGGATGTTTGGTTGTTTAATTCAAATTCAACACTCTGTTGTTTAATGTGACAACACACTTGCACTCAAGTTTTAGTAGACAAATTGTGAAGCTGAACCTTTGTCTTTAAGCTCTACATCCAGCATCTCTTTCCATTTTCACAATTTGTTTACTTGTTGAAAATTTTGATACTGACAACTAAGTCATATTCTCCTATTTTCAGGTAGAAAATTTTGGGGCTTCCCAAGATTTGCAGGGGACTGTGCCAATGGTAACCGGAAGTCACATTCAGGAACAACCTCAGAGCTCAAGTGTGATATTTCAGATTCCTGCTCTCAAATGATCCTTCAGCTGCATGAAGTTTATGATCCAAATAAGGTAAGTGCATCGATATCTGTTCTTATTCATAATATTCATTTCCATGTCTGTTGATGCCTTGTTTGACACTATGTTGCAGATAAATGTCAAGATAAAGATTATTTCTGGCTCACCTTCTGGTTCTGTGGCTGTAGAGGCCAAGAAAGCTCAAGCCAGTTGGGTTGTTTTAGACAAGTAATGCTTCCTTTGCACAAACAGGCTTGTTGTTTATAACTCCATATGAATGGGAAGATATGAAGTAGCATGTAGTCTTCCCATGTTGTCGTCTTTGATTTCTTAATTAGAGATATGATCTTGCTTTGAAATTACATGCCGTTGTCTACATCTTGATGGGTTTGTGATTTTTACAGGCATCTTAAACATGAGGAAAAACACTGCATGGAAGAGCTGCAGTGCAACATCGTGGTTATGAAGCGTTCCCAGCCAAAAGTTCTTCGCTTGAATTTAAATGGATCTTCTAAGAAGGAACCTGAATTGGCTCGTTCCTTGCCTTCTCAGCTTGATGAAGGGACTGATAAACATCCCAAGAAGAAGAATGACTCTTTGAATTCCATTCGAGGGCCGGTTGTGACTCCAACTAGTAGTCCAGAGCTAGGGACTCCATTTACAGCCACTGAGGCTGGAACTTCATCGGTGTCAAGTTCAGATCCAGGAACTTCACCATTTTTCGTTTCAGAAATAAATGGAGACATGAAGAAAGAGGAATCATTAGTTAGTAAAGAAAACAAGGTTCTTGATGACAGTAGTTCGGACACAGACAGTGAAAACTTATCAACATCTTCAGCAAGTATGAGGTTCCAACCATGGATAGCAGAATTTCTTAATTCTCATCGTCCATCCTCGCAACACATGGAAGAAAGTTCACACAGAACTAATGATAATTCTAAAGCCTCGACTACCAAAGCTTTGCTAGAGAAATTTTCGAAACTCGATAGGGATGCTGGAATTGGAATGCCAAATTATAGAGCTGACATGGAGTTCAGTGGAAATCTGAGAGAAGCAATTTCTCTGTCTAGAAATGCTCCTCCAGGCCCTCCTCCATTGTGTTCAATATGTCAACATAAGGCACCTGTGTTTGGAAAACCTCCAAGGTGGTTCAGCTATGCGGAGCTGGAGCTTGCTACTGGAGGATTTTCTCAAGCCAATTTTTTGGCTGAAGGTGGGTTTGGCTCTGTTCATAGAGGGGTGCTACCAGATGGCCAGGCTGTTGCTGTCAAGCAACACAAATTGGCTAGTTCTCAGGGGGATCAAGAGTTTTGTTCCGAAGTGGAAGTCCTGAGCTGTGCTCAGCACCGAAATGTTGTCATGTTGATTGGCTTCTGTATTGAGGACAAGCGAAGATTGCTGGTCTATGAATATATTTGCAATGGGTCATTAGATTCTCATCTATACAGTAATAATTCTTTTTCTGACAACAGTAAGCTTATTCTGTATTGATTCATACTTGCTGTTAACTTTTAGCTGGAAACTATGTTGAGGACTCACAATGGTTCTGGGTCTGTTTCAGGGCGACATCGTGAGCCTTTAGAATGGTCTGCACGGCAAAAGATAGCTGTGGGAGCAGCTCGAGGACTGCGATATCTTCATGAAGAATGCAGGGTGGGTTGCATTGTGCACCGTGACATGCGGCCAAACAACATCCTCATCACCCATGATTTTGAGCCACTGGTATTACAACCTTTTAGTCTTGCATTCAGTGCGTAAATTGTGTATTTCCCTAGTTAATGTAGAAGATAAACATGTCGTTAAATTTATCCATGTTTTGTGCAAGGTTGGGGATTTTGGCCTTGCAAGGTGGCAGCCTGATGGGGATACAGGCGTGGACACAAGAGTTATTGGAACATTTGGGTAAATGTTAAATAACAGCCTTTACTTATACCATTTAACCTTTCATCCAGTTATGTTATATGCTGCTGTCCAATTATCTGATAAGTTGCCCTCTGGTGCAGATATTTGGCTCCAGAATATGCTCAAAGTGGTCAAATCACAGAAAAGGCTGATGTTTATTCCTTTGGGGTGGTGTTGGTGGAACTTGTTACTGGGCGAAAAGCTGTGGACCTTAACCGGCCTAAGGGGCAGCAATGCCTCACAGAATGGGTATGATTAAGCAAGTTCTGACTATATGTATGTTTACCAATTATTGGCCTTCTAGTTTCAGTGTGAGACTTTTCATATCTACATAAAATTGTCCTGAACATAAAAAAACTTTGGTATTACAATAATACTGATTAATCAGATTATTGAGGGTTTCTCGTTTAGTTCTTCTAGGCTGTTGCCCTATTTTATTGCTTATAACTTATAACTTTCTATTTAATACAGGCACGCCCGTTATTGGAAGAATACGCCATTGATGAACTGATTGACCCAAGACTTGACAACTTCTATTCGGAACAAGAGGTTTATTGCATGCTGCATGCTGCCTCTCTATGCATTCGGCGGGATCCTCAATCTAGGCCGCGCATGTCACAGGTAAAGAGCAACTTCTGAAATGAAGACAACCCAACTTGTCATACTTGACAGTAGACTTTATGTGCTAAACATAACACTAGAGCCCAATTTGAGTGTAATTAGACTGTTACTCTTTTTCAGACACTTGTAAGTGAAGAAAGCTCATAAACAATTCCTAAAATACATAAAATTGTGTAGTCAAGGTAAACTTAAAATATGGTAAAAACGAAGTAAGATAAAAAGTGAAATGGTGTTATATTGTGAAGGGACTTTTACTTCCCAATATTCAGAAGGTTTGGCAAAGTCTTAAAATATGTCTCATGTTTGGGTACTCGTTTTAGTAATATCTGGTGCTACTTACTTCTACCTTTATCGGCAACTTATCTCGTCTGTTTGCCATGTGTTTGCTTCATGTTCTAGGTTTTGCGTATACTAGAAGGTGACATGGTAATGGACACAAATTATGCATCAACACCCGGGTATGATGTGGGGTGCCGGAATGGTCATGATGTGGGATGCCGGAGTGGTCGGATTTGGTCAGAGCATCAACAGCAGCACCAGCAGCAGGAGAAGGAACACTATAGTGGTCCACTACTAGATGAAGCGACTGAAGGGTATAGGAAGCTCTCTCTTGAGAATGTACGGCCCGGTTTTTGGGAGAGGGACAAGGCAAGGAGGACTTCATCTGAGCACCATTTGTAAAGCGCTAGCCTTTTAGAATGACACATATTTGGAAGACTAAATACGTGCGCTCCTTTTTGTAATGTAATCCATATTCCTCTTATATTTTGGTTAATGCCACCTGCATTTTACTTCTGTATAGTAAAAGAAGAGAATAGCAAGGTCTTGTAAATTTTTTGGTAATCTAAGGAAATTACCATTTTAACCGGGTCCAGAACGAGAACTTTTTGGTTGAATCAAAACGAAGCTCTGATGGAATTTTAGTCTACGATTGGTATACAATCAAAACATGAATTGCAATTCTACAGCATGAGCAAGTTTAAGTCACCACTGCAAAATATTTATAACTCTTATGGGATAACAACGAAGTCTTTACCCGAACATCAACAACTATTCTGCAAAAATTTCACTACAAGGAATGTTTTGTAGCTTTACAATGTCGGAGTTTGAAACTCATAATTGATATAAGACTTGGGTGTACAGTAACTGCCAAGATGGATTTAGAAAACTATCAGATGCAGTACGGTCGAAATCAACATGTGCATGAAACTGCTTGAATAGTCAACTCAGTCCCTTTTCTCCTACGACTTCCTCATCTTAGACCTTGCATATCTAGAGAAGGGTGGAAACACTTATTAAAGATATAAGTTTTGAACAGAGGATAATAAAATAAGAGAAGAGAGGAAATACTCTATATGCATGCCACCCCTGTCTGAAGATGGTAACGAGCTGCCACGAAGTTCGTCCATGGCTTTATTGGCTTGTTCAATTTCCTGCCAGCGTGGAATAAAGTTAAGGAGCTCAGACATTGCAAGACTCTGGTTTGTCTTGGTAGAAACTCATACCCCCAACTAATACAAGTCACTGAACTGACTCTTTGATCGCATATTTTGTTTTCATTTAATTGAAGTGATAAAGTACTGTAAAGGAAAAATACTATACTTTCTGCCAATTCTGACATGAAAAATAAACTGCTTATATGTATAAAAGCCTGTTGGAGTAACATAAAATATCTATAATTGCCAGCACTGAGTGCCCAGGTCCCAAGTTAAAATCTCTTCTCCCAAACTTCATAACTGAAAAAGAAAATGTCAGTATTGAGAATGGGGTACCTCAAAATCAGCAAATGCAACTGGCATTCCACCTTTAGCACGCAATTTGATCACATTGAATCCAGGGTACCTGGAACCAATTGAGGTCATCAACTTTTCCAATAATCTATTCAAAGGATGATTATGTACTAGAAGTATAAACATAGTCAGACGAGGGCCAGGAAAAAAGAATTGTATTCGACCAAATCTACAAGGAAATGTGAGAGTATCCAGGTGAAGAATAACTACTCACTTAGATAGAACTTGCTTCAGTTCATCTTCAGTGCAATTTGGACCTAGATTTGCAATGAACAGAGTGGAACATGGTCCTCCATCAACATGCTTTTCAGATTGCTCCTGCACAGTGAATTGGAAACCAGATTGGAGAGAATTACATTTAGAATCCTACATATGGAATTTCTGCCAATATATATTCACATGGCACTCATAGAAAGGTCTGCAAAGTGAAGTTTCGATCATTTTCAAGTATAGATGTCATAAAAATCAAAACTAAGTTGTTAAAGCATCAAAAACTTGCTTTGCAAATCCAAAAACTCTGTAGTACATTGTATAGCAGACTTTTGGCAAAGACTAGAAAACATACATTAAGAAGAAAACAACCCTAAAAAAAAATACAGAAAATATTTGTTCCCATAAAACATATCTTTAGTATCTTTCTGCGTACTTTTTTTTATCTTGCACTATAAAAGTTAGACAATGGAAGGTTTTAGACAGTATGTTTCCACTTAAAGATTCAAAAAAGGCAGGAAAGAAAGAATCATTTTTTGTGTGCAGTAATAGTCTAAATAACATAGAACTCTGCCAGGCCTAAATATCACTATAGTCCTCAACCAAAAATAATATGAGTCTTTGCATTTAAAGAATCATCAGAAATTTCACTTACATTTACAGTAGCTACAGCATTGTCAGAATCCACTGCCGTCTCAGCGCTGCACACAACCAAACAGGAAAACAGCCTTAGCACCTATCAGTAGATTAAAAATAACTCTATTATATTTGCACTTCTGTGCAAGATGCGATTCTGTGATCTAATAAAATTAATGCCTTTTTTGAGCTCTTTCAACCTCTTTGTAGTCTCTAATTCAGTCTTGTCGCCAGAATCATTATTTTCAGTTTCAGATGGTTCATCAGTTTCACTGTCTCCTGAATGTGCAAAAAAAAGTCATTATGCACAAGTCAGACACAGGAAAACATGACGGAGATGGGGCGAAAGAGAAATTCAAAAAGAAAAAAGCACATTACCATCATCGCTAGATGTTTCTTGGGTATCAGCCTCTTTTTTAGTTCTTTTATCTATAACAACATAGGCTCCACTACCTGTGCAAATGACATGTATATTAACCATCTGAAAATGTAACCAAATTCTCTATATTGATTCAGAGGAAACAATATAAAATTTTAATTTGAATAAGCAATAAATGTAAATATCAACCTGGTTTACGCTTCCTTCTTGAGTTTGATCTGGCCAGTTCAATATGCAGCAGGGAACCAGTTTGAGGATCAAATTTCACACCCTGATAATGTGACCATCAATGGAAAAACAAACTTAGAAGGAACACCAATTATAACCCAAGTTTCATGCAATGTCATCATTGAAATGTACAAGCAAAGTCCTCCTTTCGGATTACCAACTTTGGCATTCACCAACAATATCCGAATAGGAACAAATCGAAAAGAGCTCCTAAATAAGTTTATCAGAACGTCACTAATTGAATTGGAAAACACTAACAAACCCTACATGACATATGCATTACACAAATACTTGTTACAGAGAAAATTCATGTTAACAAATTTCTTTTTGGGAGCTTAATTACTCAAAGAATTAAGCAAATGCATATATAAATGTATCAACAAATTGAAGTTGTTATTTTTGCTCACATTTAACGAATGCAGAGCTGCCATTGCTGATTGGTGATTGAAAAACGTAGCAAAAGCAACGACCTGAAACGAATTTAGAAGAAGGTTTACATTTTTTTTTCCTCGGGAACCAAACACAAATATAAACAAAAAGAAAAGGGGGAAAAGGGAAAAGCTTTTTTCACCTGGTTGCCGCGGCCGGTGTACTTGAGCTGGCAAGAGTCGAAGCCAGGGCGACGGCGGAAGAGGTTGTGAATCTCACGCGCCTTGACGTCGTCGGGGAGGCCCGAGACGAAGAGAGTGTTGATCACACTCCGGTCACTGTAATCCTGTTGCTGTGGCGGCAGCGGTGGTTGCTGCTGCAGGTAGTAGGGATCGTGCGGCGGATGAGCCATTTGGTTGCGGCCAGAGAAAACGGGCGGTGGAGATTGAAGAGTGAGAGAGTAAGTGGGGGCCAGTAGCGGCGGTCGTGGAGGAGGAGGAGGTCGTTCTCTGATATCTGAACTCTGGACTGAGGTTTGTGCGCGGGGTTCAGGTAAAATTACAATTTGGGAGTCCGGGTGAATAGACATGAAGAAAAAACTCAACGCCAACCAAATTTGCGTTTTGGTTTTTTTTTCTCCTCCTCTTCGATTCTAATTTACAATTTTACTTTTGTTTTTGCAAATAATTTACAATTTTACTTTGGTTAATCAAAATTAACTTTAACAAAAAAAACTTATAACTTGAGTTGTTAAAATTTATCTTTATATATGAGATGTTATAAGCTGGTTCGGACACCTCATGATACTTACCCCAAAAAAAATAAAAAACTCTCACATATTAAAAAAATAATTAGAATTTTTTAAAAAAAGTAGCTGTAGTTAATAATATTTGTCTATAAGGTCAAATTTGAGATTTTGGCTATTAAATCAAGCCCAATAGCATTTTCTTTGTATGCAAATTATAATAAGTAATATAAGACCTGGCTATATGAGCAACTACACTTAATTATTTAAGCTACAAACTTCTTGTAGGGGTAATTGTATATTTTGTCTTTTATGATTCGGCCATTTTTTTGTGTTACAATTGGTTTTAATATTTTAGCGATTCAATTTTTAATTTTATCTTCTTTTTTTTGGGTCAGAGAAGGAATCCAGGGCCAGAAACGAACCGTCCGACCCACCAAATAGCAAGCAACAACCAAAAGCCAAACAAACCCAAAACTCAAAGACATAAGTAGGTAATGCAAGCACCCGACTAAGTGAAATTAAAGCAAATGGGTAAAATTTTCACTTCATTACTACGCCGAATTTTCCGAGTTTCAATACATTTGCAGTTTCTCAGGTGTTTTTCCTTCCAAATCATATAATCCCTCAAAATTTCACCCAATCCACAGTGACCTCTGCCAAGTCACTCTGCACAACGAATCCCACTTAAATCTGAATTTGACTTCAGACAAAAAAGATTTGGACCAACATTTTCCAAACCACATCCCCTATTCCACCAAAAGACATCCCTAAACCCAAAAAACCTAAGTGCTTGTAGCTCAAGTTACGGAGGTTTTGTGTTCGAATTCCCGCTCTTCTAATGAACATTCAAGAAAAAAATTAATAACTTCACTAGATTGATTACCAAAGAACAAATTGGGGGCAGAGTGGCAGATACAACAACTTCAATCGTCAATCATCAAAACCCAAAATTACAAAACAGAAGGAAAAAAGGAAAAAAAAACAGAGAATTGAATTGGATTGAATTAAGTAGATGAAGAAGATGCGGCAGGGGTCGTCAACAAGCCAGAGTTCTCCTCATCCACAGACAAATCATCCGTCTTTCTCAACCCCGCGTGCACGACCACCAACACAACCCCAATCAACAGCGCCACCAAAATATTCACCGTCGCGTGGGTCAAGAACAAGAGCACGATCGTGACCACCGACAAGACGATCAAAACGACTCGATCGTCCACCGTTTTGCCGAAGAGCACGAGGGGCTCGTCGCGGAGGAAGTAGAGGAAGAGCCAGGCGGCCATCATGATGATGAACACGATTAGCGAGATCGGGTGCCAGAGGAGGCTGAGGAAGAGGATCAGCAGCATCACGATCGCGTAGTTCATCCGGAAGTAGGCGACGTTCGATCGGATTCGCCCGAAGACCTCGCGGAACGGCGACGGGAAGTTGAAGGATCTGAAGTTGAACATGAGCTTCCATGGCCGGCGAGCGCCGAGGCCGGCCTTGATGCGCTCCTTGGCGCGCGAGATGTACTCGCCGGAGGGGCCCTGCGTAGACGACGAGGTCGGGATCGTGCCGTAGGTGGTCATGGGTTTTGACCGGCGTTGACCGTTAGGAGGGAGTTGAAGATTAAGGAAGAAGAAGGGGAGGAGACTGGAAGGAGGTGGACTTAGGGGGAATTAATTATGCGATGGGGGTGGGAGAGGGTTTTTATAAGGTGTTTGTAAGGTGCATGGTTTTGATTGTATGTGCATGGCACGATGCGGATTTTGATTGGTTGATGTTCATGAAAGTTTGGACAAGTTTTTTTGTTACGGGAATCATTTATGGGGTTGTGGCCAATTATTTCTACCGGGTTTTGTCCGGATTCGGTTGGTTTTTTGTCTATGGAATTGGATTTATTATCGTTATTACTATTGTTTCGGAAACAATAACAAAGAAATATCCAAATGATTAATGCTATCACGAGTTGAAACTGTTTATGAATTGATGCCATCGTTAAAATGATATTGATCATGATTCAGGATTTGATTGATACAACTGTTACTTGAGTTTTTTCAAAGGGAATTAATAGGACTACATCCATGTAATCATACTACAAGATAAACCACACAACTTTTTATAGTTGGAAAATCTTTCACAGCTTAAAATATCCGACCTAGACCAATTTAAGTTCAAGATATCCATTTATTACATTCTATATTTACTGTTCAGTTTATTCAACATTAACTAGTTTGAGCGAAATTCTCAACAAAAACATTAGCCGTTAAGAGAGTGAATGCTTCATATCTGTGGGGTTTTCCCCCTGGATCTTATCGGATCTTTGGTGTTCTTTAGGTTTTGGGGGATCTATGTCGATCTACTTTTCTTTTGACAGATCTATTATCTCATATCTGGACTGGCTTTGGTTGTGCCTCATCTTGCGAGACCCTTTTTTGCGGGTTAACAACTAGTTTTTATCTTAGATGTTATTGGACTAGATTCGGGAAAATTATGGCGGTTGAAAGGGGTCTTGAGATGGTTTTAGCTTTTCGGCTAGATTAGGTCATTGGGAAGTTTTACCCATAATTACCATATTGTTTTTGAAATGGCTCTCTTTACAGTCCGTGTCATTTGTACTTTTTATTCTTATTGATTTTATAAAATTCTATTGCATTTTTTTATAAAATAAAAAAAATACTACAAGTTAAACCTAATTACAATACTAATTACCTTTTAGTCTAGTGATACTTATCACTCAATATTGTTGAAAAATGTCCAAAATTTGAATTTCTGTCTCATCCATTAAACCTTAGCCATAATAAATATTCAAGTAATTCATGTACATGCATAAATGGGACAACATTAAGATTCCTTTTTTTTTCTTTCTTCCTCTTGTTCATTTATAAGAAATCGTTGGAAAGAAAAAAGAGAGTGAAAGCTTTATATTCGGGGTTTCCTCCAAATCTTGTCAGATCTTCAATGTTCTCTGGGTTTCGGTGGATTTATGTCGATATACTTTTCTCTTGGCATATCTATTGTCTCATTGCTTGAGTTTTGCCTCATCTTGCGAGGCTGTTGTTTGAGGTGTTGTGGTTTGGTCATGGTAGATCCACTGCTTATTGGTGCGTTTGAGGCCTTCGAGTACTTAGGTGACAGTCTCAATGTCATGTCATGAATGAAGATTAGCGGCTATTGATTTTCCTTTTGCTGATGTTATTTTAGTTTTTTAGATTATTATTTTGGTTTGGTCCATTCAATAAAGTCTAGAAACTCCGAGTTTTTTGTGTTTTTCTTTTATGATTCTAGTAACTTAGTTGAGTTTGCTGGAAGTTCTTAGTCTCTTTAGGAGAGTCATGCCGTATAGTGGCTAGTTTTTGTCATTAATATCATTGGACTATATTGAGGTGAAAATTATGATGGTTGAAAGGGGTTCTAGAAAAGTTATTTTCAAGAGTGATTCTCTCTAGATATTTTCAGCTTTATAAGATGGCTCATGTAACTGGTGAAGTTTTACCCATGTCTGCCATATTGGTATTATGATGGCTCTCCATTTACAGTTTATGTCCTTTTTTTATTATATTTAATTATTTATTTAGAAATAAGATAGAATATACATAAAACTTTAGATCAGTTGGTCATGGCAGTGAGCTAGTCCTTTGCACTCAGGTCCAAATTATATTTCCCATAGATTAATAATGTAATTTAAAGTAATATAGATTACCGCTTGTATTAAAAAAAAAAAAAAAAAAAAAAAAAAAAAAAAAACTAAAACTATCTTAAACCTTAAATTAGATTACCGCTTACTTTCCTCTAATTTTTCTTTCTTTTTGTGCTTAAAAGAAAAAAATAGTTTAGTTATTACACTTATGTAATAAAACGTAAGCTCTCCAGTTAATTTTGATTGCATTACATTAATTACATCGTAATTGATAATTCTAAAATCCTAAAATGAGAAGTTGATTTATCCTTCTTTTGTGAAAGTTGCCCATCACATGCACAAAGTAAAATTATTATTTTTTAAAAAAAAACCCCTAAACCCTTGATCAAAGATTTCTCCTAGGTTTAAGGGTGAGATATAAGAAGGAGCATGGGATTATTATATGGTAGCAAGCATTCTAAAACTTCCTCGTAAAATTATGATAGGGTGTGTCAAGGAGCAAGGGGCCCAATGCCTTCAACTACTCTTCAAGGAAGGGCTTGGTTGGAGTCTTGTGTGGATTAGACCACATTAAGCTCGGTGGGGACGACCAACAGAAAGAGACGTATGGGTACCAACGAGGTGGAGGCCAACCCTCATTGCCACGTGGCATCCTGGAAGCAACAAGAAGGAAAAAAAAAAGCTGTCAAGCTTTTTATATTGTACCGTTAAAGATCTAGGCGCTTTTCTATAGCGCACGTGGCATGACGTTAGTGGAGGGAAGTTGGTTCGTTGGCTGGCAGTCGACCGACTGAGGAGGTGCCACGTCAGTTGAATGAGGATCTTTTAAGTAAAAGTCGGCCGCATCGGGTAATTGCTCACGTCAGGTCAAACTGGAAAGTGCCACGGTAGGACAGCATGTAATGGGGACTGGCCTATGAGAGAGCATGTGAAATGCTGAATATGTTGATGGTGGTGGAGAAATCTATGTTACATCTTATTGTCAGTCTTGGTATAGAAACATATAAGATAATGGAATGTTGACCCCCTAAAGCAAGTGTTTCGTTTTTGAAAATGTGGTGTAGATCAGTTCATTAGAGTAGTGTGTCTGTTCTTTTTGCACATGCGACTTAAATTAGTTGATTAGAGTAGTATGCATGTTCTTTCTACACTGCGGCGTAAACCAGTTGATTAGAGCAACGTGTACGTCCTTTGACATTGAAGAATGATTTTCTTCGTTGTAAATTAGAGTAGTTTGAATTTATGTTTCTATGCTTTTGTTAGGGGATTAAGAAAAATGATCAATTTAATCTAAGTAGTTTGTATGCTTTTTTAAATTAGGTTCAGGTAGTTTTAATTTTTCACATTCAAAGACAAACTGCAGAATTTGTGAAATTAATTTGATGAAAATGTTAGGTTGAAACATTAAGATAGCCTTGGAAGAAAACAAAACTATAGCACGCTAATTGAAACAAAACCTTACTATAAAGCTCTGATTGAAAAAGATTTCGGGCTTGTTTGGTTACCTTATCTAAGAATCACTTTTGCACATAACCGCTTTTAGCAAAAAGGTTTTTATCATAAAAATGTTGAAATTTTCATAAGAAATCGAAGTGCTAAGCACTGGGGAGTGCTTCTAGATAAAGCACATGGCAGTTCTTATCCAAAAAGTGCTTTTATCACTCATAAGCATTTCTAAACTTTTCTGCTAAACACAGTCAAAAAAATTTTGTTATTGTAAAAAAGTGCTTTTAGCCCATGCATGAATTGAAAATTTTTAATTTTTCATGGATTGCGCACATAACCCAACTATAAAACCCCAATGAAAAAAAAAAGTCACAAGTTGCTAATGAAAAAAAAAGGGAGCCAAATTACAAGGGTCAAATTGGTCATTTGGCGAGGGAATTACAGGATGATTAATGATAGTAGGTGAAAGTCTTCAAGGGCAACACAATCAAAAGTAAGAAATGGGAAAAACAAAACAATTTAAAGAGTAATACTAACTTTTGGCAAAAAGTCACTTTTAGTCCTTATAGTTTGGCACTTCAACCACTTTTGACAATGTAGTTTCAATTTTGTCAATTTTGCCATTATAGTTTCGTATTTGTATTCTTGTCAATTTTGTTAACGATGCAAGTGGCAATTTCGTCAACCCAAAACCCTTGAGTGTAAAAGCTGGTATGAAATTCTCCTCATTTCATATTAAGACTTGAAATTCAACCACTAATCCTAATTTTTGAAGAACCCTAAACCCAAGTGATCAATTTCAAGCTCTAATATGAAATTATGGGAGTTTCAGACAAGCTTTTATGCTAAATGATTTTGGGTTGACGAATTTACCTTTTGCATCGTCAAAGAAATTGACAAGAATACTAACTTGTCTTTAAATTGTTACAAATACGAAACTACAGTGTCAAAATTGACGGAATTGAAACTAGAGTCACAAGTGGCTGAAGTGCCAAACTACAGAGATCAAAAGTGACTTTTAGCCCTAAATTTTTGTCCAATTTGCTAATTACATTGTTGACCATGTTGCATAAAGAAATGAAAACCATTTTTATGTTGGGCAAAAAGTCACTTTGGGTACCTATAGTTTGCCATTTTATCACTTTGATCAAATTGAAACGATCAAGACCAAAATGGTAAAAATGGCAAACTATAGGAAAAAAAAAAACTTTTTGCCTTTATGTTTTAGAAGATGAAATTTGATTATTTTATTTTTAAATAAATTTTTTATATTAGCTGGATACCTCATAATGGATTTTGAACTCCTCACTTTAGAGACAGATGTAAACATCATTGAATGAGTTGCCCATTGCTTGAAAAGGAAAGAAGCAAGTTTCACCTTTTCATGCTCTAGACTCTAGTATCTCCATTTGTCAAATCACAAGTCTTTTTCCCTATAATTAACCAACATTTATACTGCCTTTGATCCTCATTTCCAAGTGGTAATTTCTCTTTCAGGTATTA